TATTTATACATACCTAAATATATACATACCTATATATATACATACTTATATATATATGTAAATATATATACCTATATATGTATATGTATATATATATATATACACCTATATAAAATTATTACACACATTTTCCGCATACTGCTTACAATACACGGATGCACCTGCCTTGATTTGCTGCTGACCCTCCTCGAGAATGGTGCTGTTGTTCTTGATCTGTTTGTAGACGGCCAATTGCAGCCTGCTCATCGGCACCTTGATCAGATGTTCAGTCTTCTGCGGCAGCTGACTCTCCACCTCACTCTTTACACGACGCAGCAAGAACGGGCGAAGCACTTTGTGCAGAGACCTACAGGAAGTGAACAAGAATGCACATGTTACTATACAGATGTAAATGGCACACACATGTGTTTGTATAGCTGTATATTGATCAGGAGAATACCTAAACCACACACACACACGCGAGTTCGTACAGCTGTTAATGACACACTTCGAATGCACGGGGTGATATGAGTCAATTAGATAGAAACGGACTCACCACCTATCACACTTCACACAACGCCGCTGTAAAAAGAAGCACGAGATGGAAAGATCTATCTATTGATGTACACTTGCATGGGTTTATATGGTTGTACATGATGCAGAATACGATACATGTGCATTATGAAGGAAGATGTAGTTGTACATGGTAAGGGGTGATGCATTCGTATAACGGACCAGATGATATTTGCTGATATTCATAGTGCGCGGTCTGGTATGTACCATGGATATAGGTATAGGGAATGTTTTTTTACGAGGTCTATTAAAAATGTGCACACAGAATACACATCAAAAACACGATCACCAATCTGCATGTGCATTAGCAATACATACTGTGATGCGCACAAACACACACACATATGTATATGCATATATATATATATATAAATATATAATAACAATAATAATAATAGTAATAATATATAAATATATAACCATATATATAACCATATATAATATATATATATATATATGTATATATATACATGTGCATATATATATATACATACATACATACATACATACATACATACATATATATATATAAATATATATATATATATATATATACATACATATATACATACATATATATATATATAATATACACATATATTTATAAATATACATATATATATGTATATATATATAATATACACATATATTATACATATATAAATTAATATATATATATATATATTCGAAAATAGTAGAACATTCAGACTTGAATATAGATATGAAAACAAATACATTTGCCTGCAGCAGCAGAGTCATAGCATCGTGAACACCCCAACATCTCAACACACAGTGCGTTGCAGCTTGATAACAGGGAGAGTATGTTCAGCTTGGGCACAAGTGAGTGCAAACCTGTGAGCTATTGGCACTTGAGGTGGACGATACAAAGGACGTGAACTGCTGAACCTGACATTCGTTCTGTTGGACATAATTCTCTTCGTGGCACACAAAACACGTGGTTTATGAAAGCTTTTGTACAGGCACATGCTACATATCTATCCAAAAGAACCTTCGCTTTGGCGTTCAAGGGAGCCTGTTGAACGAATACTGGTTCAACAGAAACAAATGCAATAGCACGTACTGAAACCACTCCATGCCGTGACACAACCACGTCCTTCATTGTATACCATTCACATACACATGGTACCTACCTAATCACTAGAGTCTTCTCCTCGGCGTTCAAGGGAGCCTGCTGTACACCCGTTAGCTCACCGCCGCTGTTCTCAAAGGGCCGCGAGAACCACTCCTCAAAGGTGGCGCTGCTGTTGAAGATGTCTGGCAGCAGAAAGTTCATCAGACCCCACAGCTCAGGTAGAGAGTTCTGTAGCGGCGTACCTGTCAGCAACAGACGTCTGCGATGCATGGGATGTACACACACGCACAGTATGAGCAGGCAAAGTGCATTGGATACGTGCACATGTATTGTACATTAACAAACAGGTGTTGGTGTGGTGAAGAAAAAGCACACACAGCGTACACTGAACACGCACACAACCCAGCAGATACACATCCCACACCAACCAGGACAGGAAGGAGAAGTAGAAAGAGACATGACCAACACAAGCGATACAAGCAAACGACACGAACGACGACGAGTATAGAGACAGAACGAGGTGGGAAATTGTTTTAGTAACAATGATAAAATAGCAAAGCATGACGGACACAACACGACAGGCGGAGACGGAGCGAGTGGTAGTGTGACGAGCGTGTGCAGAGACCTTGTAGCGCTGCATAGTAACATCATATCATAGGAGGCAGGAGAAAGATACACCCGTACGTATACATATACGAACATATGTAACTCAACATGCACAGAACACACAAGACAGTCACATTACACATACGTACACGTACACGCGCACAAACCGAAAACAGGTTTTTTATTACATACCTAAATATATCAACTAGTGACTCGCTTGTGCACCTGGAAATACAGATAAACACACATGCTTGGCAATAGTAAAATATACACACATACACACCTGGGAATGTCAAAGGCCTCGTTGAGGGTCTTGACGAGCTTACTCTCGGTGTTGCGCAGTCGGTGTCCCTCGTCAATGAGCAGATACTGCCACCGTGGCTTAGAAAGGATTGCCTTGTTGATGATCACCAACTCATAGGTTGTGAGCACCACATTAAAATTGCCTGTTAATTGAACGAGGAATGTGTATATGAAGGGTTATGCAAAAGGTATGTCTATCTGTATAAGTGCGTGTGAATAGGCATGTGTATGTATATGTAGAGAGATTGAGAGAGAGAGAGAGAGGGGTGTGTGGGTGGGAATGAGACAGAAAAGACATCTATGTACATGAAAAGATCGACATGATTGTAAACAAAAAATTCGGAAGATGTAGTAAGTAAGCCGATTTGTGGGTTGTGGACTCAATGGTTTAGACTTGCACGCAGAAAAAATACACTCATATGCGTGGATATTAATAATCTCTCGACAGCCACTCTTCTCAACAAACATATTCACGCCCCTGGTTGCGCATGCGTACCTTCGTTCAGCCCCTTCTCTATATTTAGTATATCAGGAAGAACTTATCGTTCCATCAGGTTTACATGGCCTTCCCACTATTGCAAACATAAACTATGACGGTATACGCAATCGGTTCAACCCCGTGCATACACACACACACGCATAACATACATAAAAACATACATACATACATACATTCATACATGCATACATTCAAATATATATATATATATATATATATATATATAAATATATGTATATACATACACACATATATATATATATATCTATATATATATATATATATACATATACATATACATATGCATATACATATACATATACATATACACCTACATACATATTCGGTCCCAGACATACCTCGCTCGAGCACATCGCCTGGGACAGTTTTCTCGACTTGTTTTCTTCAGTAGTTAATCACCTGAAGCGCAGTCGCCTATTTAACGAACTCCGAAGTCCAATGGTAACGACACCAAAGCATATGCTTGTATATTCTGCTATGCACGCACACATATATACATATAAACATATATATATATATATATATAGTGCAGCATGCCACATACCCTTCTTTATCTCTACGTCCAAGGCAGCTCTCTCGGCCTTTCCTCCTTTGTAGGCGATCACTCTCAACTCTGGCGCCCATTTGAGGAACTCCAAAGTCCAATTGGAGATGGTGGACAGCGGCACAACGATCAGAAAGTGTCCCGCCAATTTCTTGATCTCTACCAAGTATGTAATGAGCGCGATACTCTGGATGGTCTTGCCCAGTCCCATCTCGTCTGCGAGAATGCCGTTGAGATGATTGTTGTAGAGCGACACCATCCACTCCAGACCCTACGCTCACAGCCAGAAATCAAAACCCAGAGACAACAGTATGTGTGAGTAGCATATGCAGAGGCCAAAAGCACACCGATGGTGATCAGTTCGTAAGAAATGTATTGACTTAAACGCATGACTATAACAATGCACACAGGTTATAGGTTGACTGACACAGTCTCATATAGTTGTCAGATGCATCCACGCGCTGGATAGATTCTATGTACTTGCCCTTGGCTGTGCAAAACTTGCCATGCAACAGTGGGTTGGACTGCTCGACTATGCCTGTCACTATACAATGCACTATATGCCGGAGCAGTCTTTTGAACAGTATACGATTAATCACGGTATAGCTATATCATGTGATGCGATATACATATACTCCTGTGTACTGACCTCCACTCTTACAGACGATCGTGCATCGTACACATGCACATACCTGCACTTGGTAGTGCTTGAGCTTGCCACCAATAAGCGTCGTGGGCTGCACATCAATCTTCTCAATCATGGAATGCGCCATCTTGTAGTACTGTTTAGAGTCAGACGTGTCGATGTCTTGCTGCAACAGCGCTTCCACCTGTCACGCGAGCGTGATAATTGAATGCATATACATATACACATATCAGAAAATGAGGAAATATTGCAACGAAAGGCTATTCAACACTTTTCAACTCCGTCTTATAATTTTATCGTAGAAATATCATCATCACTTGGGATTCTTGGACAAAAAATATAGTGGGATAATGACATCAGCTGACATGAAAACGAGGATCGTTCTGGCCCGTCGACAGTATTCTAGACAGTATTCTACTGTGCACAGTGCTTGATTCAAGACGACAAAACTCTACACGATTTCTCACACCATCATCGATGTGTACAAAAGGCACACACAGGCGCGCGGACAAACACGAAAATCACACACACACACATTACATACATACATACATAAATACATACATACATGCTTGTACGCCTTAAACATTCATCTATAAATATGAAAGTATATATATGTCCTACCTCTGTCTGGTTCTGCAGATCCAGGTCATCCTCATCGGGCTCCTCATCGCCTGCGGCCGCTCTGGCTGCCCTGAGCGTGTCCTGTTCGCGTTCTCTGCGGTCCTTGTTTCTCTGTGCCACCATCTCTGCAAACGACCGCACATACCCGTCCGTACGCTCCAGCAAAAGCTTGAGACGGCTCTGTATGAGGTAGGAATCCAAGGTGTTATATACATGGTAGATATATCCATACAGTCTGACGAATAAAATCAACAAACACATGCCCCATTTTACGTATAAACCAATCTCATCTTATTATTTCATGATCAATGTGCTGTACTCTTTGTCCATCATCAGCGCCAGCATACATTATTCACACGACATGCACATAAATAATCGTCAATACAAACACACTAAACTCAACACACATTGCAATCACAAGTAAATATACAATTTAGATAGTAGATACATATTCGCGTACATATGACATTTATCCCTATATCCCTATATATATATACATATATCATTTTTCTCCAAGGCCAGTTTCGTGTACTGGTAACAATTATCTGCGATAAACATCAGCACATGCTACTCACACGTACAGGCATACATTTACCAGTAGTTCCGACACAAACTCAACACAGACGGCAACCAACAGTGCAAGTACATTTTTAAAACACACACACACACACACGAATATATATATATATATATATATATATATATACAAATACAAATACACAAATACACACA